TTACGTAATAACCGCGAGCAACGAACTGTTTCTTAATTATCTCCTTTCGCCGGGGATATTTCGTTTGGTTCGTCGGCCCGTCCTGCATATCGGAGATACAAGACGATAAACGTGGCATGCTTGCGAAGTACGAAAGTCGTGAAAATAGCGTATTAACGAAATTAGCATAAAAGGAGAAAGTCGCGGTCGTTGGCCGCACGGCCACGTTTGGTTCGGCTGTCGAATCTGCGAATTCTCCCGTGCGAACGGGTCTCGCAACAGAAAGATCAAGATATGGCGCGACAACGGGGCAACATTCGAAAAAGAAACGGTGCGCGCACGCACGTGGTTGAAAAAAGAAGGGAAAAACCAGAGGAATCCACTTCGGGAATAAACGCGAGGACTGCGTAAAAATTTGGAGGCTGATAGCTAAAAACAATCGACTTTCATTTTATTGAAGGAATACTAGTAGCATCGTTGCACATTAGAATCAACGAATCCACGTTAAATAAACTGAAAGTAGTTTTCAATTGTCCACGTTGGAATAACATATTTCGAATTTTCTCTTTTCATAATTGCCAGACTGCGAATGTTTGTGCGTTTGTAAAAAAAAAAAAAAAAAAAAAATGTAGAGTACTCGCTGTAATATTTCACAAGTGAAACAAATCTTGAATTAGGTTCTATTTCTTCATCCCTCGACCGCGGATATCATCGCGGGTTGTACTTTATACTGTCCGTAACAGAGATCCACAAACAAATTAAAAATTCAAAAATTTTTCCAATAACTTCTGTTTCAAATTCCTTCTTTTTTTTTTTTTTTTAAATTACTAAAACTGCGAAGTTGAAGGTTACTTTTGCAGAATCGGTCCTTCGAATTCTCATTCGAGGCGTAAATTATTTTTCTTACCAATTTTGACATTATGCATTCAATGCACACTTGTACATAAGACAAGTACAAGTCTGTACATAATACTCGCAAGGTACGAAAATATATGAAATATCCAAAGAATAATGTTTCCTCCGAAATATTTATATTTTTTTTTAATCATATCCTCAACCATATGAATTTGCATAAAATTCTTGCAATTAATTCTTGCCTCTATCTAAAAGAGTGCAGTTTGTACACACAAGGTACGAAAACATATGAAATATCCAAAGAATTTCCCTCGAAATTCTATTCTTTTCTTTTATACCCTGAATTTGCATGAAACTCTTGCAGCTAACTCTCGCTTCTGTCTGAAAAATCCAACTAATTGTTTGTTGATTACTCGATTATCCAACTTATTTTGGCTCTCGAATTAGCACTCGAATGGACCACCTTATTCAAGTGCCATCGAGATCAACGTGATCAGTCGTGCAAGCAACACGCACGATATTAATTGTAAACTTCAAACGTCATTAACGCGCGATGCATGTGACATTCGATCCAGCTGTTGATCGTTTACCTGGCAGTTGATAAATAATTAAAACTGAGAGGCAACGAGTTGTCGGCCGCAATCTTGACACGTCGCATCGCGATGCGACTCGCACTCGAAGGTGAATAAACTTGAGAAATTTATCGAGGAGAAACGATGATCTCTCGCGAGCAAAGAAAAGGACCCTAACCTTGATAACTGGATCCAGCCAATGACCCCAGCCGATCGTTGCCCCGGTTCTACCTGCTTACCACCGAGAATTAGAGGAAACAAGTAGATAGACTGGTACCTATGCGCCATTCCTGCATCGTGTTCCACCATTAACTCTCCTTTTAAACATAGCCATCTCAGCAACCATTTGGTATCTCCCTTGACAATCGCCACTCCGTAGAATAACACAAAGATCGTTTATAACTTTCCCAATTTATTATCCCCATAGATATGTATCTGCCGGTGTCGTCTTCCATTTATTCTAGTATATAATTGAAATAAATTTATATGGCGGACCACGGGAGGCATTTTGCATGCGTGTTCTTTACCATTTTCCAAGGGTGTGTTTCCTCCTCTCGTCAGGTTCCACGTTTTATTTTACAATAGGACTAACAAATCGCGATTTTTTTTTTTTTTTCAATCTTCGTAGACAAGCATGTCAACAGCAATTGTCATTTATTCTATAGCGTCAAAGCTACATTTAGTTTTATGTCTCATCAATTGCCCCGCTGAACAGTACAAAGAATATTCGAATATTTTCTACTTTCATATCTGTGAGCGCACCCTCTGTTTATTTCGTAATTCTTTTTTCTCGTTCATTGAATTTCACACATACAGTTCCAACAGTCTGTATGTAATATCACTGTTATCAAGTCTACATTGCAGAGACTGTAAATGTAGTTTGTTATTTCTATATTTACGCAGTTGTTTCTGTATTATTAATAGAACTGTCCAAATACTCGTGCACGACTCGTGTATGCATATATGAATCGTGGAAGAGGGGAGGAATCACGAAGAAAAAGTACTACGTGGTTCGTGTCCATGAGGACACTGCGATCAGCATAAAGTTCGTTATACCCTTCGAAGAGAGCTGACAAAAAGTCTGCGGTCATCAGCCAGCCAACCGTTCATTATTAACCGGCGCGGCGCGGTCCTTGGAGAAAAATTCGTTTTATCGAACTCGGAGTAGTCGTCCTTAGGTTAAATGAAAAATAATGAAATTACATTAAAAGCTTGAGCAGTAGGTATATCGAGTTCAAATCGGGTGGTTCGTTCACCTTGCATAAAGAAGTCAACTGCATGTTGAACTTTCGAGAAAGAGAGAGAAAGGAATGTACGAAAGAAGCTAGGAACAATAATTTCAATGGTTTCCGAGATATTTCATTCTTTGAACGTTTCAAGGTATTACACTGGCAATTTTTGCAACTAGTGACGAATAATATAATAATTGGTCTACTTTATTAGAAGTTCAAAGAGAGTAATTTATGCAGATATTTATGGAAAATTTAAAGTTCCAAAAATATACGCAATGTATGTAAATATCTACAAGTAAAGTATTCATTGTAACATATAATAAATAAAACAAATTTCTATTCAGATTCTATTTCTTTGGATTCATTGTTCGTGATGCAAATGTGTTGGTCCAGATTTATTAAATTGCACCGTATGGTAATACTAATTTTCAGAAATATGTATTTTTTTTTACGACATGCAAAATGTATAATTTATTAGTCATATTCGTAGAATACATTGACAACATACTGTCAACACAGTGTTCACAGTCAGTAACTAGATTGCGAATGCATTTTCGCCTTTTCATTTTTTCGCATTCGCCCCTTCGTATTTTTATTTTTAATGCCTTTTGACTTTTGCTTTTTTTCAATGCATTTCTTACCTTTTCATCATCTTGCCTTTTCGCTTTTCCACCCTCTTG